TATAATACTCTACTCTACTTAACTTACTTACGTCCCACCTACCACTTCTTCGTACCTACCTCTCTCTCTCTCTCTCTCTCCTCCTCTCTCTCTCTCTCCCTCTCTCTCCCTCTCTCTCTCTCCACATCCAGGGTTATTGTTTGAGGGCACCATGAAGTTTGGATTTTCCCTTGTTTTTCTCCCTCTGTTTCTTGCCTTATTTTCACTTGTTGCAGCTGAAGACCGTCAGAGTCAACACCCCGAGCGCATTTCAGGTAGGCTTCTCTATCTCTCCCCCATTTTTTGACATTCATTCGTTTCATTTCATTTTCTGTTTCTTTCTGATGGGTTTTTTCTCTTCTTCACAAAGTTAGGTCCCCTAGTTCTTAGGTTTATTGGTGCTTCTTTCTCTCTCATCCTGGGCATTATTTCCACTTGTTCTTACGTTTCCGTAATATGTCACTGGTCAACTGTTTTCTAGGGAAACATTTTATTTATCTTTTTGGTTTTTTTTTAATGTTTAGGGAAAATTGGATTTTTTCTCCTTTTCATTTAGGGTTTTTGTGACATGGGAATTGAAATTTAGGTTAAGCTGAACTAAAATTTGTGGTATTCCCCTGTATTGATTAGTGATTTAAGCTCAATGTTTTATGCTGAATATATGATTCCTGGCTTATTTGGGTGGTGCGATCCATATGAAAGTGCTTAGAATTGTCCACTTATGCTGTGATTTCTGCTCAGTATTGCGCTTGAGAAATTAGAGAAAACCACTAAAAATTTTGTATTAGAAAGGGATAAAATTCTGTGTGTTTTGCTAAACTGGGGATCCAATATGAATCTTTCAGAGATTTATTGTTAATATGAGGGCCCAATATGAAAATTTCTGAGATTTATGGGTTATGCATTATTAGAATTTAGAAGCCTTATTTTATTGATTGGTGTCTCTACATGATTCTTTCCGCATTTATAGCATTCTTATTCTGTTTGTTGACATTCTTTGTAACTGAATGAGTACAGAGTTTGGGGCTTCTGGTGAATTGAATGACTTTTACGACTTATGTTCTATCAGATGTCTGATTTATGATAGAAATATTATTGTTAGTTTGTTCTTTGTATTTCAGACTTTTCAGGTATTGTATCCTTAATAAAACCATGATTTTGGATGTTCCTAAAGTTTCATTCAGGATTCTCTACCCTTGTTGCAGCTTTCTTTCTTGCTCTATAGATGGAGTGAGATACAGAACCTGTGAAACCGGAATGAAACATTTTATGATTAGCTTTTAGATCATGTTATGCTGACAATGGTTATCATCTCTTCTAATCTCTATTTTGTAGAACTTGAAAATCTATAGTTTTATATTTTATGAATAGCTTACTTTTGGTCCCTTTCAAATTTCAAATTTTGATAACCCAAATGAACTGTTTCTTCTGAAACCTTCCTTTTTTTTATTCTTTTCGCCTCTACATTTCATTTTGTTTAGTCTGGAATTGGCCCAATAGGAACTATCACAATTTGAAATCTTAGGTGTTTTAAACTTCTGAAGTTATTTAATTCATTGATTACATGAACATGAATTTGAAGTTTCGAGTTTTGTGGGGTGCAGGGAGTGCTGGCGATGTTCTCGAAGACGACCCAGTCGGAAGGTTGAAAGTGTTTGTTTATGAGTTACCTAGCAAATACAACAAAAAGATATTGCAGAAAGATCCAAGATGCCTTACCCATATGTTTGCTGCTGAGATTTTCATGCACAGGTTTTTGTTATCAAGCCCTGTTAGGACTCTTAATCCTGAGGAGGCTGATTGGTTTTATACACCTGTGTACACAACCTGTGACTTGACCCCGAATGGGCTTCCATTGCCTTTCAAATCACCTAGAATGATGAGAAGTGCCATACAATTGATTTCAACTAATTGGCCTTATTGGAATCGCACGGAAGGGGCAGATCACTTCTTTGTGGTACCACATGACTTTGGGGCGTGCTTTCATTACCAAGTAAGACGTTCTCTTGTCCTCCCCCTTCCTTTTTATTCTTCTATTTCTCCCTTTTTGTTTGTTGCGTAGAACTTGCATCGACCTATTTATGGCTACTTGTTATTGCTGTTCAAGACAGGGAAAAGCAAAGATGTGATATGATGAATAAAATCACAGGTTATACTTTATAAATTTGAATTTCTTCCACTCTTTTTAAGTTCCAAAGGAAGTTATTAAAGAAGTCAAACTCTGGACAAAGAGATGTTAACAATGATGTGAAGAAATAAAATAAGGTTAATTCTAGATAAAATAGTGAAGACAACAAAAAGCAAAATGAAGCATTATAAAGAAACGTGAAACATGGGTTACATTTTCTGATTGTGAATACCTAGAAAACAGGGAGAGAAAAAAAGCCAAACTAGCATTCAAAATGGATCTTGTATCAAATGGCTGCTAATGATAACTTTGACTAATGACCATCTGAATGAAACAAGCAATTGTTAGTGAGGCCAATTTTGCTGATTGCTTCTAGAAGAAGGGGGGACAAGATGTTTGGGGTTTGAAAGTTTGTCGATAAGTGAGGCTCTTGCGGATCCTAGAGGTGTTTTCTTTCCTAGAAAGGATGTAAATACTCTGGTTTGGATCCAAAAGCTTCATGGCATCATGGTGCCCTATTAATATCTGGGAGTCATTGGAATGTATATTTTCCTCGCAAATGGTAGCTTTCAGTTGTTTCTTAGGGATAAATTCTTCACCAAAGGCCATCATTAGAGTACAGAAGGTAGTTGCACAATGTGAAGAAAGACAGAGGATATGGCAGAACATCATACTTCGGTTACTAGAGGAGACAAGGATTAATTTTTAGATCGTTTTGGAATTGGTTTTGTAAACTAGAACCTCTGACGAATGTTTCATTCATTCACAATGGACCATTTGAAGATTAAGGAATTCTTTGCAGCTGCTGCTTGTTGTGGATGTTTTTGTGATGTGGAGGGAGAGACACCTTAGAATTTTTGTCGTGGAGTATGGCATTAGGATGATAGACGAGTGCATTAAGACAAGCAATAGTTTGTTTGTAGTTATTAAACAAAGGAGTTTAAAGGTGTGATAGGTAGTGAAGCAGAATGTTTTAAGATGCATGAGATATGTAGATACAAGTAGGAGAAGGTTAATTTTTTATTTTAGTGCTGGCAGAGTTCCAAATTGCACAACAGTCAGATGGATATACTGTCGGATATACTGAAGCCAAGAAGGTTAATGTGGATTTGATTGTAGTACGCACTGCATGGAGGCATGGGAAAAATGTTGCTTATCAGGCTCTGTCATATACTACATTGCTTGACACTTTGATTGTAGGAAATAACTTTTTCCTTTCTTGTATAAGGGAACATTGAATGTGATAAGATTGTCTATTAATGTGCCTCTTGGACCATGGCGATGTTTTAGTGAAGACTCTAGACCTTGCTAGCCCATGGGAGATTTCCTCTTGGCACAGGAATGTGGATGCTTGCGATTTGGCTGGAATGTTGTCCAGGAATGGGTTCTCTAGGATGCAGTTTGAGTTTGTGGGATTTTCTCCATTTGTTTTAGGACGTCTTGTGTGATGAATTTGGTATAAAACTTCCTTTTTCTAACAATAGAAACTAATTATCAACAAATAGATAAAGAAACTATGGTCATGGAGCCTACTAGACTTTTCTCTGATGGCCAAAGTCTAGGCTTGAAGTTCATGAAATCTTCAAATAATGCTGCTTTTCTTTGTATTACTGTATGTTTTGTATTTCTGCTCATAGTACAAGTTTATAGATGTGCATGTGATCCATTTCTTGTGTTATATTTCTCATACATTTTGGTTGACTGGTGTTTGTTTCTAGGAAGAGAAAGCTATCGAAAGAGGGATTCTTCCATTACTTCAGCGGGCGACTTTAGTACAGACTTTTGGGCAACGGAATCATGTTTGCTTAAACGAGGGCTCCATCACCATTCCTCCCTATGCCCCCCCACAGAAGATGCAAGCTCACTTGATCCCTCTTGACACTCCACGGTCGATCTTTGTTTATTTTCGGGGTTTGTTTTATGATGTGGGCAATGATCCTGAAGGGGGTTACTATGCAAGGTATGGTCCTACATGAACCAATTGTTTTATATTGTGTTTACTTCTAAAAAGCAAACCATATCTCAAATTATAAGAAGAAATCTCCGCAATTGATTCAAGTTGATTTTGTGCAGTAGACATTTTAATTGATTCTCGTGTATGGTTTTTACTTAATTGCATTGATTCTAGATTCCAATTTGTCCAACTTTTTGTAAAAAAGATAAAAGTTTTTAATAATTCTGATTTCTGAAACATTTCTTCAGTTTTATCGGATTTTCTTTTATGAAAGGTGAAACTGTTGAGCGGTTCTTCAGTTTCATCAGTCTCAGTTTGAAATGGGTTTCACTGATTTTTTGCTTAAATCTCCTCTTTCCTCCAATAAAAAAAATTCACTACTTACACTCATATTTCTTGGGAAATGTCGTCGAACTTTTTCAATTGATGCTCAGGTCTCAATTCAAAATGGGTGACATGGATAACTTGATTCATCTTTCTGCAGAGGGGCTCGAGCTTCGGTTTGGGAGAATTTTAAGGACAACCCACTTTTCGACATCTCCACAGAGCACCCTGCCACTTACTACGAGGACATGCAGAGGGCTGTGTTCTGCCTTTGTCCATTGGGTTGGGCTCCATGGAGCCCGAGATTAGTTGAAGCAGTCATATTTGGTTGCATACCCGTAATCATAGCTGATGATATTGTGTTGCCCTTTTCTGATGCGATTCCCTGGGAGGAAATTGGCGTGTTTGTTGAAGAGAAAGATGTGCCAAATCTTGATACCATCCTTACGTCAATGCCAACCGAGGTTATCCTAAGGAAACAGAGATTACTGGCAAATCCATCAATGAAACAAGCTATGTTGTTCCCTCAACCTGATCAATCTGGTGATGCTTTCCATCAAATATTGAATGGGCTTGCCCGAAAGTTGCCCCATGACAAGAGCATATATTTGGATTCAGGTGAACAGGTTTTGAACTGGACCGCAGGCCCAGTGGGTGACCTGAAACCATGGTAGTTGAAGGATAAACCACATTTTGAAGAACAAATGCAAGGCTGGTCCTTAATTAATCTCTTGTGGGAGCTGTCCTTGCAAGAGAAACATCGGTTCCTGATCAAAATGGCTGCTTCTTCGGTTATTGTTGAGTGTATTATTACAATCAAGTTCATGGGGTGTCCTTAATTTGTAAAATCATGCTAGAACAGGTACATTGTAATAATTTTTTGTAGCTCGAGGTGCATTCTCATCATTTGGAGCTTTCCATTATTGTGCAATTGTAAGTTGATTGCAGTTTTAAAGTGCCTTTTTTTATTATTTGTCTTAGTTATTCATTTAGGAGTTCATCTTTCTTTCCTGGCTTGTTTATCTTCTTGTGCTTTGATTACAAAGCATGAGGGGGACTTGTTGGGGTATTCTGTCCTACTGAAGATCTAATCGGGGCACTTCAGCTATCTGATTAGCTAGCATGCTCTAAGGACTAGGTTTCTTCAGGGGTCAGATTTTGATGTCATTCAGATTTCTGATAACTGCTTCAGTGAGTTGGTGTCATATAGGTTTTCTCGTTGTATAGTTGGAGAAGATTCCCGAGTTCACTACTATAAGGAATCTTCTGGTTGAAGTATTATTTAATACTTCAAATTGGAGATTCTTGTGTTTACTTTTTTGAATAGTGGCTGTCTGATCCACTTCAATATTTGAGACATGTGAGTTGCCAACTAGATCTTGTACTTTATGAGAGTCAGCTTAGAGACTAAAAGGTTAAAGTGCTTATTTTAAAGGGGGAATGGGGAAATCATTGAGCGAATAAGGGATTCATGGTGATTATTGAGGTCCCCATTTGTAAAATGGAACCATAAATTGTATCTTATTGCTATTATTTCATTGGGAATCCTTTTTTGGTGTACCTGCCGCTACACAATATCCTGGTGGCTGCATCCCAAAAATTCATTTTTTGGTTGCTTTGAGGCCTCGAAGATGGTCGGAAAACTTGTGCAAATCTCTCTTGATCACCAAACGGAAAAAGAAAAAGGTCTAGAGCTATTAAAATGATTTAAATCTGATCAATTTACTATTTGTCCAAATGAAAAGTATGCAAAGAGATGGCAAGGAGATCACAATCATTTTTGTCCATCTGATTTTAAATAAGGTGGTTTTAAGCATTTTTGTCCATCTGATTTTAAATCAGGTGGTTTTAAGCATGTCATTGACGAGGCTCAATATTAAAAAAAAAATTCTTGAATTTTATGACACACTTTAATCTATCCAAATTAGTATCTAGTAACTAAAGGTGATTGTGATTTCTTTATAACAATAATAAATAGTCTCATAGTATATAATCCAGATCCTATCAAGTGTAAAGATATTTCTGAAATTAGAAAACATGATATTTCCAAATCCTAACAATGGACTCTCTTCCCCACATGCTACCAAGCTTAGACACTATTTTTTTTTTTTAAGGCTGCAGTTTATTTAAAAATTGCAACCTTTAGGCTTTAACATGTTGAAATGTATGGTGGGTGAGATGGCGCTGAAGTATGTACTGAGAAAAGATGGAAAGAAACAATTACAGAAAATGGGGACATGTGGGGCTTTAGGAAGAGAGAGAACCCTTCGGACCAGTAACATCTCTTTGTGGTCCACATTGGTCCACATGCACCTCCTCACTATGATCATCCTGCCCAAGTTGCCCAACATCTCTTATTTTTGCCCAAGTTCGAATCTTATCTTTTCATTTTCACAATATAGCTTCCTGAATGTGATCCCGCCAAACGGATGCAAGTCTCTAATGCTTAATTGCAACTAATTCCACTTTCTTTGAATCTGACAAATTCTTTCATTCAAAGAATCTTTTTATCGTACTCAACTAATCTAAAAACTCTTCTGGTGATAAACCATCAAAAAATTTAGGTAAGTCAACTTTAATACCTAAGTCGTCTTTATGGCGTCGCGCTTGTCTACTCCTCTTGGATTGGACACGAGTCACTATCCGACTCAAGCCTTTATCAATACGTTTGTGAACCCATACTTTCACTTGAATCAATCGTCGATTCTGAGCTATGCGAAGTCGTTTCCATCTTCAACTCATGGTGCTCTCCAAACAAGCCCTCGTGGATGGAATCTTTTGGCCGGGGATCTTCTCACATTCTGGTGATTTCTATCTTCCAAAAGTGCAACCACTGACTCCGTTAGATTGTGCACAGTCTCTGCCAACATATCGAGTTAATGACCTACGTTTCTTCGGCCACGGCCACTACCACGAGCAGCCATCACATTTGATGAAACTCACAAACCGTAGCTCTGATACCAAATGGTGCAATACTGACACCAAAAAGTGTAGATCCAAGGCTGGTTGTGCAATAATGATATGGCTTCCTTGATCTCGGTCAAGGGAATGAATATGAAGGAAACTTCAGCCCTCACTCTCGACACTCAAGGTATTTGCAATACACAAGGATAACCTTCTAATTCAAGGTACTCAAGGTACATATGGTACATAGAGAAAATTATGTTTCTCTCCCTATAACAAATAGGAGGAAGAAGTTTTTATTTCATTAAACAAACTATCAACAAAGCTAACTGTTATAGCGATGTTCCATGCATATAAACCAGTTTGTTGGAGCTTGAGAGTAACAAAAAGACCTTTACAAAGTGTGAAATTGACTACATTACCCATGTGCCCTATTTCCCATACTTGCACGCAACTTTCATGCACCCAAGTTCCCATACATAAAACCAAACTTGTAAATATTGAAACTACACATTTTTTACTTTTGGATTTATAGAAATTTTCACACAATAAATTACTTGTCTCCATACCAAATTCCCTTGAATTTGACAAATCCCAAAATGACCAAACTCATCCTGGGACCCAAAACAAAATAGACAATCACAATCACATCCCGATGACCAAAAACACTTTTGGATGCTGTCTGTATAAAAAAGGGATAATGTGTTGGGACGTTGAAAATATAGATTATTTCGTTCATAACCCACTTAACAAATTCAAGGTTGGTGAGTTTGTTCAGTTTGAGAAGAGCAAGAGTGCCTAAAGTAGCTAACAATGCTCCCAAATGCAAGGTGGTTGTGCCTCAAGCTCTCGACCTTTCTCTCAAGTCTGCTGGGGAGGCCTAGATTGACCTCTATCTCTTTCTTTTTGGGGTGGCAACGGCCCGGTTCGATCTGGATCCGGATCCGAATAGTATTCAAGTCCAAAATTTGGACCCGTACCTAAACCCGTCAGGTCCTGGGTCTACCCGTCGGGTTTCGGATCTGCTTAGATTCATTGCTACATAACTTTTCCTTTTCCTTTTTTTTTTTTGCCATTTTTTTAACCATCATATACCCTATGACTATGAGCTTCTTCTTTTTTTTGCTAATAATACCGTAAGTTTTGCTAATATTGTGACAATATGAACACCTAGCGTGCCTAAAGACACATGATTACCATCATATACCCGACGATTATGGGTATGGGTCAGGTTCGGTTGGACTCGAACCCGAAACTTGGCCCAAATAATATTCAAGTCCAAAATTTGGACCTATACTTAGACTTGAGGTCGGGTATACCCGCCGGGTCCTGGGTCTAGTCCGGTCTATTGCCACCTCTTTCTCTCTCTCTCTCTGGCTTGAATAGGTAAGTTGTAGTTTGTTGTTTGGTAGCTTATGAGTAATCTCTGGTCTATTATGAATTAAGTTTTTTATTTTTGGACATTGGGATGTTTTAAATCCACCAAATTGGATATTTTTTAGGGTTTAGTAAAAGAATTTTGAAGAGAGATAGAGAAATTTGAAAACACGGGCATGCTTAGGAGAGATTTTCGGGCTGGGCTCGGGCCAGGACTAGAAACATACTTTATGGTGGAACTGGGCCGGGCCTAAGCTGAAATAATTTGGGATTTTCTCGGACCCAAGCCGAGCCTTGTGGCAACCCTAAAACCAAGCCATTTCAATTTTATGACATCTCAAAATACTGGATGGTATAAAGTTACAAGAAGCCAGTGCTACAAACAAAAATAAGGAATACCCTAATCAAAAAAAAAAAAAAAGGAATGCCTGGGCTATGAGTATTTTATTGATTGTTTTTCATGCTTATAGGATTATTTGAGAAGGATTAGACAATCAAAACCTTTTTCATTTTTTGCTGCACCAAGATTGATATTAGGGTTTCAGGTTTACACTCGTATCAATGTTTCAATTTCAAAACTAAGTTCACTTTGGTGAGGTCGTAGTACAACATTTCTTAAGAGCCATGCACCATGCTTTTATAAGAGCATACTATACATTTACTTCAGTAGAAGGCTTGTTTGGGAATTTATTTCTTTGTTTTAGGGAATATGTTCGATATGATTATCTTTTTTTTGCACAAGAAAGTCACAATCATCTCCAGTCATTAGATTTGAAATTTGGACATTGAGAATAATGCACGAAGTTTATGAAAATTTTTATTGAGCATTATGCATAATCAATGACTGTACCTTTAGCCATTTGATTTCACATTTAATGGCTAAGAATAAGTGTGACCTCCTTATATCAAAAGTAAATAGTCTCATCTTATACGTTATCTTTTCTTATGTGTAATTTTGGGATTTATATTAGAATCACTTGAAGAATATTGAAAAAAAAAGAAGTTGGATTTTGAGTTTTTAGATTTGACTCTCCAAAAGTTAAACAGTCTCTATTCATTATAAGGATGTTTTTTTTCAGGCACCTACATAATGCGAATTTTGCTGTTTTTATTTTCTTCTTTTTCCTTCCTTTTTTATTTTTATTTTTTTTAAGGTTGAGTTGAGAAGGTTTTGTCCACTAATTATCCTAAGAGTGCCATACATAGTGTTTTACACAGGGAAGTGAATTGCTTAAATGCTCGTCTCGGAATCTAGAATTTCTTGGCCTTCTTAAATAGTTCTTAAATAATTGTTACTTCCATAATAAAATACGCATGTCAATAATATGAAGCATGAAATCAAAAAAGTAAATTGCAATTATTGCATAAACTCAGTTAGTTTCTACTTAGATGAACGAACCAAATCCGGATCAAACTAAGGCGTGGTGGAACAACTATACTTTTAAATATTGCTAAGAACACAAAGCAAATAAACCAATTAGGAAAGGACTTAAATTTTAGCTTATTTTTATTGGGATGTATACTATGAGACCATTTATTTATGAAAAATTGTTTCATACGGGCTGGATCATATTTCTACATATGCGGTCTAGAAGTATAAAGCATCCATCTTACATATGTGGCCCATCTAAAAACAATTGAACCTAACGGTCCAAATGTTTTCTTAACAGAATTATTATTATTTTTAA